TTAATTATAATAAATGTACACTATCGTTCAGTTAAGTAATGTTAACGAGCACGTTTTGATCTTTTTAACAACAGCCTACAATTTTACATGCATTAACATAAATTCCTATGAGGCACAATAAAGGAAACGCAATATAATGTCCTTTCCAACATAGTTTTCTCAATAATTATAGGTTGATATTTTATCATCTTTACACAAACTTGTTTAATTTATACGAATTTTCAAAAGAATTTTATAACTACCCATAAATATATGACATCATTATGCTTATTATGAAAAGAAATGTTTAGCTATCCATAACATTTAAGTAAATAATTTTTTGTGTAAAATTACAAGGACTTTATTAGTATATTGTTTATATTAACCGAAGGTTTAGTTCATTTTTATTATCATAAATAAATGATCAACTTATAAATTATCCACTTATTAAATTTTTGTTTTGTTAAAGAGCTATCTATATATTTTCAAGTTTAATACTCGATTTACAACATTTTTACAATATTATGAGTAAATTACTAAATTTACTGCATTTCATTTAAAACTGTTGTGATTTGAAATAAATTTTCTTTAGTTGGCAAAGAATAAGTATAAAATTAGGCTATGATCCAAGTTAATACGAATTATAAGAGTAAATCAGTATAAAGAAACTTAAAGGAATTTTTTCCGTAAAAATTATTCATTTATAAATATATGAAACTGCAAATTAATTTTCTATTACATTTTTTAGTTCAATTAAATTTTTAAATAATACTTCATTATAATAAGTGAAACAAATATAAAAACAAATTGTTTTTTTAGTTTGCAAAAATCGTGATGTTCCATAGTAACTAGATAAAAAATATATATACCATATTTATTTTCAATCAAAGAATTTTTACAATTTAGTATATTTCCAGCTTAATATCTAGGTCAATTTTTTGTATTGCTCTAAAAACTCTAAATTTGGTTTCTTTATAGTATAAATATTTTAATATAAGTTTTTTTTTTTTTTGATAGTATAATGAAATCATAGAAATACAGTAAAATAAGAACCCATAGAAATGGAGTACATAAAGAAGCCATAGAAATACAGTTAAAAAAGAAGCCATATAAATGAAGTACATAAAGAAGCCATAGTAATACAGTTAAAAAAGAAGCCATAGAAATGGAGTACATAAAGAAGCCATAGTAATACAGTTAAAAAAGAAGCCATATAAATGGAATACATAAAGAAGCCATAGAAATACAGCAAAAAGAAGCCCTAGAAACACAGTTAAAAAAGAAGCCATAGAAACACAGTATATAAAGAAACTATATCAATGCAGTATACGAAGAAGCCTTCGAAATGCAGTATAAGAAGAATTATCAATAGCCCATAAACTTTGATCTTAAATCTTTACGTGAAAATATTATCCAATTGGTCTCAATAGGTCTCAGTGCCAGGCCTCAGAAATTTATAAAAATTTGTAAAATACTTAATTATTTGTTAAATTTAATTAAAGTGTATTTTGTTCTGAATTATATAGATATGTTAAGGGTTAAATAAATAATAATTCTAAAAAAATGTTAACACGAATATCCAATACTTTATTTTAAATTTCTGTGAAAGTTCATTAAATTACAAATGTTTGTTTTAAAATATTAGCTCCCAACATCACTAATATAAAGGTTATATTAGTGATTTTTGATTGAGAGTTACTTTCAATAAAACAACCTATATTATTTATGAATTAGACAGTTCAAATATAAATATTTTTAATTAGTAAATATAATATAATTATAAATATATTTAAAACATTGCTTAAAAATTATAGTTTGAGCTAAATAAACTGCAACTTGCTTACGCATACGGCGACTATAAGTCAGTATATTGTAAATATATATTTCATATCGTGGTTAATTTTACTTATTTTTAATTAATTATGACTTTTGAGATCTTTATAAATAGAACAAAGATTTTCAAAGTTTTTTCTAATCAAAAACACCTATTTCATTACTGACAACTTTAATTTTGCATTAAAACTTTGAAAGCTCTTATCTAAAGTGTTTTTTTTAATTACTACAAAATAAATTATCATGAATTTATTCGTTATAGTTTTATTCTAATTTTTAGTAAAAAAAAAACTTCAACTTACATTTAAGTGTAAACTTTTCTTTAATTCCATAGTCAATGCAAATTATTTATTACCCGTGAGTATTAAACATTAGTAAAGTTTTAAAAGAACACATCAAATTAAGTTTTTACTAATTTTATTAAATACCTTCAATAAGATATTACTCACGGAATTCATGCAATGTATATAGTGCGGTTTATTAAGGTTACTACTTCTTATTTTTCGTTAAACAAAAATGTTCATAAAAAAAAGATTTAGATGTGATTTATTTTTATGGACCATAGTATATATCAAATTTATTATTAAAAAAAATTATTTTTATGGGTAGATTTTAAGGTAACATTTGAAAATTAAAATGGCTCCTATAATTATTTTTTTACTATTAAGTGGAGAATAGTCTAAATGTAACTTTTAATGGTCGATGACCAAATTTGTAATATAACTTTTTGAGTCAATATAATATTTAATTTTGGTGAGAGGGGTGCATAACATAGCAAAATGTTTATTGGTATGCTATGGTAAAAATAAAACTACTCCGCTCTTCACCTTTTCTCAGTTTATTAAAAATAATTAGGAGAATTATTTGGTGGCATATTTGAGTAATATTTCTCAATTTATAAGTGGATAAATACTTTTTGGGGCTATCCTAGACCTATTTAATAGTACCAATTAAATTTTTTAAAATTACAACATACATATTCATCTCGCTCTTGTGATAATAAATTACTGTTTGAATATAAATGTTGAATCAGTAGTTTAGAAGTTTGAATATTTTTATATCTGGTTGAGAGAAATAATGCAACAGAGTAATGCATAATGATAAAAATTACATAATCTATACATCCGTCTGTAGTCAACATTTTAATTTGTTATTAAGTTCCGAAATACTATTTCAATAGTTGTTGAAAATGGAAAATAGAAAATGACCATTCATTTTCTTAGAAAGGTCATTTAATCAGAAATAGTTATGGTGGTGATAATAGGTGGATCAACCCCTGGATTGTCCATATCTTTTTAAATAATATAGTAAAAAAATTCTTGACTCGCTGTAAATACAGTTATTCTTATAAAAATTTACGTAAAATAAAAATAAAACTCAACACAGTGGATACGCAGTTGGGACAAATATAGATAATTACTGACAGTGATTAACATCACTATAATGACAAATTGTGTCGTTGCGAATCTGATTAATTTTTATTTAGGAATGACGATTTATACAAACTGTAAGTTTTTATTTATTTGATATAGGTTTGAAGGACGCAGACGTTCTGGAACATTTTCAAAATTCATAAAGTATTCTTTTAGCAAAAATTAAGTATTTTTTTATTTTTCCTACGACAAATTTGTGGGTAGTTTTTTTTTATAATGTAATAAAGCTTTAATTTGATATAGAATTAAAAATATTTCGGAACATTATCAAAAATTACATTAAAAAAAAATATTTGTCATACGTAGGCGGTTTTGTTCAAACCCTTTTTTGTACTCGTGTATTTTGAATTTTCATAAACAGCATATCAAAAGAAAGTTTATAATCTTTAGTATATATTTTTTTAAATTTCATACTAATTCGATTTTTTTCTAAAAGGCTATAATAATTTTAAAATGCAGAAAAAATTCTGATTTTTTCCATGTTTCACGATTGTCTAATTTTAAAAGTTTTCTAAATTCTTAAAATCAACAATTTTTTAAATTTTGGTGTTTTAAATTAAATTAAAATTGGGTTCATTTGACATATAAATAATCAGAATGGACCCAGTGAGAACTGGGTATTTATATGGACAAATAAGAAAAAAACATGTCATGGATAAAATAATACCTTCTAAGCTTTGTATTGAAGCTAAAATGTATTAAATTTACACGCGTAATTATTTTAAAATATCGAGGATAGTTGTATATATTCAGTTTAAGTCATAGAACTACTTAAATATTTATTCATGACCATAATTGGGCTTTTTGTTTAGAAATAATCGCAAAGTTAGCAAAAAAAAAGAAAGAAAAATATTATTAACTTATAACTTGGAGATATTTAGATTGCTCTAATATTCCCAAATGTATCCTATGTCCTATGATATATCCTTCCCTCTATAAAAATAACTTATAACCTCCACTGCATTTAATCTATTTAAATATGTACTTGTCATTAAAAAAAAATTGGTATTCCCAAAAGGAATAAAAGAAAGACCATACAAATATTTAACAATTTAGAAATTTAAATTAAAATAATATTAGGAAAAAAAAAAATTAATATTATTATTTTAGAAATAATTTAGTGATCAATGATAAATCAATAGCCTTATATATATATAGAGAGAGAGAGAGAGAAAGAGAGAGAGTCTGCAACTAATTCAATTATACAATATAACTAAACATTACTATATATTAAAATTAGGGTTATACTATAATAGAATTAAACGTATAGCGATTGACCTTAGATTAAAATTATGCGATTTAAAAATTTTATTGTAATTATTTGATAATTTAGATTTATTATGTCAATTAATTCTTGAGTTAGTTATTGCTTTAAAAAATTTGTATCACTGATTATTATCAATTATCAACAAATTATAGTCTGTGTATAATAAAAAACTAGAAAGTAATCATTTTCTTTAGTATTTCATGCTAAGTCTAAGAAATTTCATAAATCTTAATTAATCAAATAAATGTATACAATTTATTAAATGTCATACATTTATTATTTCTTAAGGAAAATGTTCAATAACCAAAAAATATAACAGTATTACTTAAAAATAAAAATTATTAATCTTCAGCTTACAGTTAATCTTAATAGGGTTCAAATATTTTTTTATTTACAGTTTTTATCAAAGGTTTTTTTTTTATGAAAATAAATATATAACATACTACTAGCATAAAAAAAATTCCAAGCAAACAATGTTTGCTTTTTTTCAGGTTATAATAAATAAAGTATCTAAAATATACGGAGCGTTAAACTTGACACCAAACTCTATGTAAACACTAAACTTTTTTTATACGGTTTTCAATAACACTATACCATAATATTTTTTTATCATTAATTATTCAGGAGCTCAACTAAAATCTTTACACTCAATTCAAGTTTGTTTTGACTGGAAAAGATGAGGTGGTAAGTAAACAAAAATAAATATTGTGTTTTTTTAAAATTATTATAGGCACTTAAGAAATGTGTTGTTTATTAAACAGTCAATACAAGCATAGTATTTTCATTTGGGATTTAATTTATAGACCATTTTGAACTACAATTTTAAATAATAATAAATTACATTTAAATAATGTTAGCTCCTTTTCTGATGAATTCGAAAATTACTAGGGTAGTTTGAAAAAAGTTGTGTCAAAATTAATGTCGTTTCACACGATTTAAGAAACTAAAAAAAAACATACCATTTCATCAAAACTTTTAATATGTTTTATGACGATTCGATAAGGAATTGACGAGTTATTCCAGTAGGCTTTTAAATTCAGATCTTTTTATTTCACTTTAATCTTATTCTTTTCTAACAGTTTAACTAAAAAACATTATAAATATATACGACTTAAAAAATATATTTATTCTGAGAAATTTAACAATCTCATTGTTGCATAGCATAAAAAATATTAACTTTTTTCAGTTTATACTATTTTTTATCAAATTATTTAACACTATTGTATTTATGATTAAATTTATAAAAAGAAGTTTTGAAACAAATTCAATAGACAGTTAATATTTTAATAAAAAAACCCCAACCCAACACAGTGGGGTGGCGGCATAGTTGGGTCCAGTATAGATGATATCTGACAGTGATTAAAATCACTATCATAAAAAACGCTTCGATGCGAGTCTGTAGATAGTGTTTAATTCTAAGAAATTGGTGGATTATTCCAAAAGCTACATGATCTCCTATTTCATTATTTATATCCTGATTAAGATAAAGTATATCGAATGAAAAAGGGATATAAATATTATTTCTTATACAAAAATTGTGTTGATCTATAAACTTTTCAATAAGTTATAGAATTATAAAGTTAAAAATGTAAAAAGTAAAATAGAGATTTTTCACACAAAAATAGCATTTGGTAGCCATATTCACCGTGAAGATAAAATAAAGACCGAAATTTTTTTTTCCATAATAAAGTATGTTACATTAGCTTTAATATAAGATATATATCAAAATGTCAGACTTTCCGGAAGACTTTCAAGAGTTAAGTAGAAAAAGTAAATTTTTTGTGTAAAAGTTGTCATTTTGTATCCCCCCTGTGGGCAGGTAAAGGGTCAAATTTATAAAACAATATACCAAATGATAGGTAAAGATATCAAGCATCTATAAAAAAAAAATTATATTGATTTGTTCATTTTTAAAAAAGTTATGGCAGTTTTAAGAAAAAAAAATTGATTAAATTAGCAAAACAGTAATTGCCCCTTAGGTTGCTGTTTATATAGCAATGAAGGTCGCCATGATTAGTGTTACCTGATTTGTAAAATTCATTTTTGACCTTTAAGTTTAATTATTGAACATTATCTAGAAAATTATTTTTTTTAAAACTACGATCCAAGTAGTAACAAAAAGTTAAGGATAATCTATTTCAGATAACTCATTAACAATAACTTCGTTTTTTATATAATAGTATGTGATATTTTTTAACAGACATACTTACAATAATCTTAGAGGCGTTGGATTTCTACTATAGGGACATTATTATATTTTTAATTAAAATAAATAAGAATTGACATTATTATAAACACGAATAAAAATGATCCATGAGTGTAATATTAATTTAAACTATGATCAAAAGACTATATTTTGATTAAGATATTGTTTTACTTTAAATACAACCCTGAGTATCTAAATATATATATAACAATAAACATAACCTCTCAAGTAGAAAAAGAAATATTTGAAAAGAAAAATGGTTTCTTATTTAAGAGAATCTAAACGATTAGAAATCCTCAAATAAATCGGCAAAAGAAATAAAAATATTCGACATAAATTAATCTAGCTTACAACCCAAACACAAAAAATGACTAAAAATATTACTTTTGTCACTGTCAATTTAGATCCGACCATAAATACCTAAAAAACATCTAACTAGGTTTAATTGTTATATTTAACTATTTTATGGCATGTATGTTTTATCATGTTCAATTATTTTAAGTTATTTGCTGCGTTATTCCTATTTAAAATTACGTACATTCTTGACAAAACTTATATTGAATTGATTTTAAAATAAAATAATTTAAGTATGAATAAATTTACTCGATTTTCTTAAGTAATTTAATATTTAATGTTTATAAGTATATCGCAAAATGTTTAAATTTAATTGTCATTAATTCATCAGTACATATATACTAATAGTTTGGTAAAAAATAATAATAAAATATAAAAATACTTTATACCTTTACTAATGAATGTTACATTTCTTTTATATATCAATGGTGAGTATATCTATTTATTTATCATCTCATCCTAGAGGTTTATATGGCTAAAGATTTACAACAAGAAAACATTGTAAACATAATATTAGAGTACACATTTGATAAAGCCGACGTTTTTTTTAACCAATATTTTATTGTATATAATAGATAACACATCAAAATATTAAACATACAAATATTTTTATTATACTAAAATTAAAGTTCTATATTTTTTTTAATCCCTTTTATCTTAAATAATTCGTGTTATTTTATAATTTAAAAAAGCATAATAATAAAAAAATGTTATTCAAAGTTTGTTATTAAAAATACGATTATTTTTAATTAAAATAAATTAAACCTGCAATTTTAATAAATTATATCTTAAGTTTAAACAATGTTTAAAGCGCAATCGAAATACCTGAAATCATTAAGTAAACTTACAATGCACTCTTCACAGTTTATTATAAGTCATGTGATTAACTTACCATTTAAAATAACCTTCTTACCCTATCAGAATTCTATAGATTAAGACATTTTAAGTATAATCATATATAAACTCATTTTATTTTATTTTGACATTATATCATCAATAAAAATGCTTAACTAATCCAAGTAATCTATTTTAAAAATATTTTATAAATTAAACAAAAAAATACGAAGAATAATAGTAATAAAAAAAAAACAGTTTTATAAAGTAGAAGCTACACTTGCTTACATTTATCTAACTACCGCTTAATGAAAATAAGTATACATTATCATAATGCAATCGATTACTCACAAAATAATTACAATATTGGATAAAAATAAATTTTGAATTATTTTAGTTATTTATCTTGATTAATCAGTTAATTATAAGTTTTTAAAATTATCTCTTATAACTTAAAGGAGTGTCAACTTAATTATTTCAGATGGCAAGAAACATATTTAACTAGATTATAAAAAATAATATAAAAGATAAAAAGTGTGGGTGGAGTAGCAGAAGGTTTTAAGGTAAGAGTAGGAATCCACCAAGGTTCACCAAGAAATTTATTAAAGACAGGGATGTGGAGATCATTTCTTGAAAGTAAGAAATTAAGAATAAGTAGGAATAAGACAGAGTATAGAGAGTACAAGTTTGACAAAGGAGAACACGAGGTAGGTGATATAAAGAAGTTAGTGACTATTAATGAGGACGTGATAGGAGAGGTAGAAAGATTTAAGTATTTAGGATCAATTGTGCAAAAGAACGGTGATATTGGCGAGAATGTAAGACACAAGTATAAGTGCGTGCGAGTGAAGTGGAGGGAAGCATCTGGTTTGTTATGCGATAAAGTAATTTCAATGAGACTGGAAGGTTAGATCTATAAGACTGTATTGAGACCAGCTATAATGTTTGGTTCAAAGTATTAGACGGTTGACAAGAGAATAGAGCAGAGATGAGAATGTTTAAATAGATGAGTGAAGTGACTAGAGAAAATAGGATAAGGAACGAACATATAAGAGGGAGCATAGGTGTAGCGTCAATCGTTCAGCACTGGTTAAAAGATAATAGACTTAGCTAGTTTAGTCATGTTATGAGGAGAAAGGAATCGGAAGTTGTAAGAATAGTTATGGAAATTAATGTTGAAGAAAAAAAAAGTAGAGGGTGATACAAAAAAGAGATAAAGAGATGAAGAGATGTTATTGAACGCAATATAGTTGATGGGATAGATCGTTTCAAGTTAAAATTTAGGATAAGGGTGGCCGACCCCAGTAAGATAAAGACGAGGAAAAATAAAAATACAAAGAAGTATATTGTTGACGAATAAACTTTGAGGACTAATCAATCGTTAAATTTATGGCAATAATTATATTTACTCCTTAATTTTGTTATAATATTAATAACTTCTAATATAATAAAATAAAATGTAAATTGGAACAAAGTTACTAAGTTTTTCGTTTGTTGCAATTCTTTAAAAGCATAACCATTATTTGATTTTCTATTCACTCAAAAATCCTCGAGTCTCTATTATAAATAAAATTTTGAGGTAGTCATAGATAGTTACAGCTTTCTGAATATTTACCAAGTATATAAAAAACTAAATAAATCAAAATCTGGAAACTTCAAACTTCTTGAAAAGTATTTAAGAATTATGAATTATATGTCTAATGTTATAGACATTACTATTGTAATATAATAAATGTGTGCATGAAATAAAGTATGTGTATACATATCTAAAACGTTTGTCATTAATCAATTTGGAGGAGTATCCAAAGGGTCGATTGTAATGCGGTAATTGACTAAGTTTTGAGAGACTCTGTTGAGCCTTTTTAATAGTTCGGTAAACGCAAACTCTGCCAGATACATGATTTATCATAGTCATCAACAACTATTTTCCGTTGATTTGAACAGTAGAACGAGATCAGTCTTGATTTTCGTGTTTTCTGAAAGAGCAATCGATTTAATTCCCATAATGTATCCTATCATTTTTATCTATTATAAATGGCTTCTACCAATATTATTAATATGTACTATGAGTATTTAAAGGTACTATGTATTAATTGATATCCTTTTTTAATATTTGAGTATAGCATATGCCGTAAAAAAGAATCCTTTAAAATTGACTTTTTAAGTATAAAAACAATTTATTATTATTAGTATTAAATTAAAATTATATCGTTAAATAGTAATGTTTTTTACTTATTGAACTTAATCAGAATATATTTACTACAAAAATTAATTTACTTATTACTATAAAAGCATATCTTATTAAGTAATACTATAGTAACTAAGTTTGAATTAGTTCTTGAGCATTAAAATAATTTTTATTTTGTATACATAAATAGTTTTCATTAGATCTAATATTTTTAGTATATATAGTATAGTAACTTTCTGTAGTGATATACCCGTCTCTATCAAAAAATGGAATAACAGTTTGTATCCAAAATAATGGTCTTTCATTTAAGATAATCAACACTTCTATTTAAACATTATATTCATATTCTTAGAATAACATGATTCTTATCAATCGAACAAATTTAAATTAATAACTTAGAGAAATATTTAACAATCACACACTATTGTTTAATCATATTATATTACACACGTTTCTTTTTTTTACTCGAAGCTTAATAATTAAACGGAATATGTCAACTCTAATCTTAAATGTAAAAAAAACTATATTAACGTTGTACAAAATATAAAAATAAGTGAATTTATAATATCTATTAATTTATATCATCTGTAATAATTTAAATATTTTATGCTTACTTATCAATAAACAATAACATTATAAGAATTTAACAATGATGATTGTTTGGGGATACAAAATATTATCAAAGGCAGAGCAATCCCTCTCAGTCTGACCTGTTCTAATCCCGTTCTTGACTTTGTCACAAAAATTGTGATCATTGTCGTATTTTCAATTCTTATTTGTTAAATTTGTGTACTAAAAGTCAGGTTTGTGTTATTTTATTTATCAATTATTACTAATTAGTGTCATTGAAGTTATTATAAGTACTAAATAAATGATCAGGTAAGATTTCAAATTAATAATAGTTAATACTTATATTATTGTATGACCATCGAATCACACCCCTTAATATTTTCTTATATTAATCTTTCATAATTTAATTAAGTAAATAAGCGTTTATCTTTCTATTATTTTTATTTAATTAAGTTCTAAATTACGATATTACCTACCGAATAAATAAGATTTTTTCATTCGTTAAATCTATTTGAAACTCATATTTTTAAATGTATCGTATTTTAAGTTAAAATTAAAATATATTTTAAAATTACTAATTTTAGTTTAATAAATTCCTGAGTATTACAAACAAGGTAAAGGGCAAAACGCAAAAAGAACAGAATGGTTCAACCAACCTAAGCTAGATTATTAAGATGGATGATGTCATTTTACAGATTTAAGTTCTTGGAAAACGTGAAGAAGGATGTACTTTACAAAGAGCAATCACAAGCTAAGAGCTTTGATTTATTATTCAAATATTTTACAGCTATGTAATATTTTTTTTAGGTTTTACTCATTCTATTCTTTAACGATTTTTATTTTAAGTGTTTTATGTAAATAATATAAAAATATACTAATTATTAGTAAAATATAACTATATTATGTTAAATTTATTTATATCGTATGTATTAAATATTTTTAAACCTATTATATAGTATTAATTAAATACAAATTCAACTGGTATTTTACATTTTTATGTTGTAACAAAATCCTATATTTGATCATTCTACCATGAAATATTTATAATATTTGAATATAGATAGAGTGACATGAGTCAATGAACGCTTTAAGTGAACGAACACCATTGGTTTTAAATAAAATGTTGTCTAGTCTGATTGTATCAAGTTGTAACTAGTAGTTATTATAACGAAGATAATATCTAAATTTAGTTCTACCCCAATATCAGATTTTTTTTTATAAAATTATAAATTAAAATTGTGGTCATAGTTAATTATAAATATATTTTGATTGTTACACTAAAACATTTTCCATTTTCCAACCCAACCAAAATAAAAAAATTAATTAATTCACTGATTAAGTCATATTATCTAATATTTTTTCAAATTTTATTGAATTATTTGAAATGTTTTGTTATCACAGTACATACTGAAATCGCATTATTTTTATAGTTAATAAACTTTCAAATGTAGTAATAAATTTAATAAACATTTTTTTTATATAATTTCGACATCTACAAATAAGGTCGAAACTTTTTTTTTTTGTTCGTTTAACAAGTTTTAAATAAATTTAAATTATATATATATTTAATTTTTTTGTATAATCAAAAGACAGAAAAAATAATTAAAATTTTGTTATGACCTTTTTCTTAGAAGGTGTCAATATTTATTTCTTGAATTTTATTTTGTATAACCAAAATAAATAACAAATTTCTTTGCATTTTTAATAACTTTAAAACAAAAATAGCAATTAAAATACATAAGTAAACTATAATTGTGTCTTCGTTTAAACTCTAACAAATTAAAACAAAAAGAGTAAATTTACCACCTGTGGAGGATGTAGGATGACATTTTGTCGAGTAACTGTGTTAGTGGTTTATGAATTTCAGACTTATTGCACCAAACTTCCGTCAGAGTTTACTTTACAATATAAATTAAGTTCTAATTTGATTTCATACCGGCGTAATTACAATACGTTTTTAATCGACCTATTAAAATAGGTTCCCTTCTGCTTATTTGACATTCAATTTCAAAATACGTTTCGATAAAGTAGTTTTTGAACAATAATTTCTACTCAAATTCCCTGACGTTAACAAAATAATTATAGGAAGTTAATCTGAACCATTTATCCAAATACGCAGAAATTTTCGATAGCAACTTCGAAGTTTCAAAGAGAACTTTATAAACGTATTTATATTTAGTGTGTTCTATTTATATATAATCCTAACCCCACACAATAAATTTTCAGGATTCTGATGTTGATACCAACTGAACATATGTAAACCTGTATATTTTTTGTTTACAGTAATTCAAAAAAAAAATAAGTGACCTGACAATTTATTGAAACACGTTATACTTACATTTTATTGGTGTACACAAATGCAATTCACAATGCTCGTAATAAAAGTTTTGTATTTCTAAGCATTATTTTTAAGGATTATGGATAAAAAACTATCGAATGTTATAGATAATGTCTATCGTACTATAAAAGATAAATATTAGCGGATGTTTAACATAGTATTATCTTAGTAAATTCGCTGCTATAAATTTTAACTGGCAACTGCATCACATATGATAATCGAATTTTATATCCATATTGAAATAACTTACTAAGAGTCTTAAAAAAATTCAATAGAATTTATTAAATATCTATTCATTTAACTAACTAATTTTAAATGTATTTATTCTTCTTAAAAAGTTTAAACAAGTATTTTCACCGAAAATAAAGAAATAATAAAGAACGGTTCAGCTGAAACAGTATACTATTACGATGAAAATAATAAAAAGTTTTATCGACACGTGAGAAACATGTTTCACGAATCTTCCAAGTACTTGTATTACTACGAAATGAATAATTAAGGAAACGTACAATAAGCTGTACAGTTTTGTTTTTTGATAAATTCAGCAATCTTTCTCGATTATTTCATATTTTTCCAAGCACCTCCAATTTGAATTAAAAAAGAATAAAAAATTTTAACTACTATAAAAAGTAAAGTACTATATTAATTTAGTTTATTACATTTAAATAAGAATACATTTTAATTTAAAATTTTTAATTTCTTTAATATGTCAAAAATGCAAAGATTTCTATTATTTCTATTAAAAAGTTTAGAACAAATTTATAATAAAACTATACAATAAATATTTTAACAAATTGATTTTTTTATAGAGTAAATTAAATAAAAAATAAAACTTTTATATATTTAGAATTGAAAATAATAAAAAGTGTTGAGAACTTTTTATGTAAAGCTTTATTTTTTTTTCTATGACTGTAAATAACATTTACACAAAATTTAATAATTAATTGATCATTTTTTTTAAATTTATATCAATATAATTTATCTTTGAAACAGAAAAATAATGCAGCTTCTATAAAATAAATCTATATCGGGAAATTATATTTATATCTCAAATGGATTTGTATTTTTAAGAAAAACAATTCTTAATAAAGCAAATAAGCAATAAAGCCCCTTAAATGTAAAACGGAAAAATTATTTCTGATCTGTCAGTATATTAAATGTTTGTATTTTAGTGAATACATTTTTTATTAAAAACTATATTTAACCGGTCAAAGATTAATAACTGCTTTGTTTGAAATTTCTCTACTTTACATTCCGTTTAATACCAAAATGGCCAAGAATTATAAATGTATGTCATTTATTTATTTATTTATATAAAGAGTAACACAAAATTTAAATTATGATATTTTAAATGATTTTTAACAATATAGAATTTCCAAAATTCAGAAGAATTTTTTTTAATTACATTGTTTCTCAATCAAAGCAAAAAATAAGCGTAATAAAAAAAACATTGAAGTTTTGATATTTCATCAGTAGTGTATTTAAAAAACTTAATTATAAATAATTCAATTTTATAAACAAAAATCTAAACATCGAACTATTAAATGAAAAATACAAAGTAAAAGTTTTAGAGTCAAAATATGGTAATTTTAATTATTTGAATAAAATGTTTAGAAAGTTACATTTTTGATAAAAAGGACTTTCTTTAGTTTTATATAACGAGATACCAATTGAGTGAAAATTAACTATTCATAGTGCTTACTTACTGTTTAATTTCTAATAGCTTACTTAAAAATAATACTAGTATATAATTCAAACTGCTGCTAAGGGACTGACCGAAAATTCAGATTACTCATACTTAAATACTAATGTCATACTTAACTAATTAAAAACAAGTCAATGTGTAAAAATTATAATTAAAATAAATAAACAATATAACTATACTGCACATATACTACATCACTGTCAGATTTAAATTTATAGATCCCGTGATCCTGATAATGGGACCAGTATTCATATGTACATTAAGTTAAAAACAATAAATAAGGGAGACAAAGTAAATGTTTAATTTGGAACAGAAAACTTTTTTTTTTTTTTTTTATTAAAAAAATTTCAATTAATCATAATAAAATGAAATTATATTGAATTTTAAATTACTGTTTCTTGAATTAATTTCATATTCATACATAAAATAAATATTTGTTATTTTTTAAACAAATTAAAAGTTATCTGCCTTTCTAGTGAATAGGTGTGTTGTAAAAAAATAATGGACAAAAGTTATGTAGTTTAAAATTCAGATGATTTTTATATTTACTAAATACAAGTTTACTAAGTACAAGTTAAAAATTACAAATATTCACACGTCGATTTAGTATATTAAGAACAGTAAGCAAATTATTAAAAAAACCCAAAAATATTCTAAAATACAATGTAGAGAGTTTATAAAAATGTTTTCTTATCCCTCCGTATAAAATTCTTGAGCACGCTCCTGAGATTTACCCAAAACCAATTTAACATTAAATGTTTACTATATAGACTTATAAATAAAAGAACATGGTCTTGTAGGATTGATAGACCTTTTATGTGTACTACATTAAAACCAACACGTGTTGCTTCTATCTGAAAGATTTTTCCATGGAAAGATTTGCTTATTTACGTTATTAAATTTGAAATTTATATATAGAACACCAATAAAATAATATGATTATAAATAAAATAGTACGACGATAGCACATAAAATATCTTAGGCGAATGCATTATTTATAAAGTCATATTAACTTCACGAATTATCACTAATTCTTGGTCTACTTATACATATGTCTTTAATTATCTATACTAAATTTTAAAAAACTTTGATTAGCTAGACAGTACCATTAATTTTGCAGTGTAAAATATCATACAAATTTAGGTTTTAGTAATACGGAGATTGGGATGGTGGTTGAAATTTTAGTACCAGGAACTTATGCGAAACATTGACGGGGATCATCATTTTTCAGATCATCATATTGCATAATGTTAGAAGGTACGCGAATATCGCTAACGAGACGCTGGACACCTTCATAGAACACCTGGACATAGTAACGCACACAGTTCTTATAGGATCCTAGTACTTTAATATTTGTTACAGAATACCGATACCGGTTTAAAATATGTATTTATATTATAAATTTATCGCGCGATTCCTTATGAATTCCTGGTAGTCATTTTGGTGTCCAAGCCGCAGAGTTGCTCCACTATCTTATAAAATATAAATTGTTGCGGCTGTATGGAACTGATGTATTTTACATTTAAATTTTTACATCAACGATTTGGTGTGCTGAACTACATATTACGAGTTGACGTTAACACAGTTATAAGTCTAATTTTAATTAATTAATTCAATTAAATTAACAAAAGCTTATCATTTTACACAGCATATACTATTTGCCAGGATATTCCCAAATAAACACTAATACAAATTACTGTTTCCCTCTAGATTTGTAAAGTATTAATTTCAACGGAACTGGATTTATTTTTGTTCTAAATTTCATTAGATTTTTAACTCATTATTTAAATATTATATTCAAAAAACTTTTATTAAAATTTTATAATCAAAATAAAAATATAATTCATTTAAGTTTAGAAGTTTTTCCAAGTTCTGTAACTGAAATTAAGTATAAGTAGAAACATTGTTTTAAAACTCTTAAAAACATAATTTACTCATAAAACTATTTAAATATTATTAAAATATCAAATTACGTTGGATTTCAGAATCACTTTACTTACATAAAATTCTTTTAGTAATTT